TTGCCAGGTCTCAAGAATTGTCTGCATTACACTAAATAACCAGAATATAACAGACAAAATTACTTACAAAACATGTCTTGTAAAATCAGTAAGGTCCTTTTCAAGGAAGAGTGGAAGGCCGTGGAGAACTGCTGTTCATCGCCCATTGATGTCCGATGTCTCTACAATTATTAAAAAAACTCATATTTAATATCACTCAAAGCACAAGCATTCAGCATAACATATAATGAATATCTACTTATTCTGTGCAGGGTTTCACAAAACTGCAAAGTATGATTTTTCATTAAGCACACCTATGTGAATAAGCATATACTATGTGGAAACATGGAATTGGAGAATTTTCATATTCCATAGCTTCCATATTTTAATAAGTTTTTCAGCAGTTGAGCTCTCTTTTCACTCGATAAACAAGCAGAACTTCCACTTCCACTGCATGAGATTAAGTCCCCAAAAAAAGAGCACATAGAATATGAAAAGAAAATGGTAATAATTAGTGCTGGGCATTGACGCTGGGCAATAACACATTTAAAAACTATTTTAAATGAAGTTTCTACTCCAAGTAATTTTCTGAAATATAAACATTTAAACAGTGGTTGTGATGATAACTTGTTTTCATGACATTTGTTCAAACATTAAATGCTGAAAAACGGATTACATAAGACATGATAAATTTCATTAAGTTGTACTGTATCGCTCAACATGCTTTATGATGCTTACTCACACTCACGTTTATTTCATGTTATAACTAGCAGTAAAGAGGAAGATCGATGTTTATAAGCCACTGGCTAGCTAGTACGCTAACTGACGGTTACAGTAATGCTCGTCAGTAAAAACTAATAAAATCTGCCTTTTCTTTTCCTCAAAAACGATAGCACACACTGTGACAATATAGTTTATAAGTAGATCACCAAAAACTTACCTAATCTTGCGGCCACATTTCAAACACGATCTGACTCTGAGATCAGTTCGTTGTCTTCTTCTGGTGATGTTTTGTTTAAACCAACCTTCCGCCACCTACTAGTGCACTTCCGCCACCTACTCGTCTAGAGTTATTAGAGCACATAGTGGGATTTAATCCAACAAACTAGATGCTCTTAAGTACTGTTTACTAAAGTTGTTTAGTTTAACTATTGCATCCACCTGAAAGTTCACATAACACAGTGTAATTAAGTAAATTCAACAAATTTGTAAAAATCAGTTATGTTTACTCGCTTTTCTTTAGTAGATTCAGTGATTACTTTTTACAGTGTATTAAGGTTCTGTATTATAGTTTTCCTTATTTTATAGGTTTTTACATTTACAAACTAGCAAACACTAGTCATGCACTAAACATATTACATAACGGGGCTGAGATGACGGAGGAAGAAGTGCTATAGGACTCTAGACGAGAAGCAAATCAAAGGTGATTATCTGAGTAGAATGTGAATGTCTTTCATCATATTTAATTTTCAATGTCTTTCATCATATTTACAGTTGTTTTAAGGGCATAAAGAACTGAACTACTGAACAGTATGCACTAGAAAACGCACAGAAATGCAGATCTTTTGTTTCATTAAAATCAGCAACCACAATAAATAAATAAATACCTAGCCTTGGCCTATAACTTTTAAGAAACTGTTCAATATTTCTCAGCATGCCATTAGCCGATCAAAACTTCATTGTGTTTATTTGTTTAAACCACTTCATTTGTGCAACTGCAGTTTAAACAATGGCTTTGCCGGAGAAGAGGCCCTAAATGACAGTAGCAGGAAATCATCCCGATTATCACTGATAAAACATTATGAGACACTCATGAATAATGTCAAGAGTTTATAAAAGATAGTAGTTGGTCAGGCCCAAAGAATCTTTTATTACATACCACAAATCTGCCTATAAAGTACATGTTGTTGTGAATTAAGAATCAACTGAACCCCTTCTACTAGTTGCTGGAGTGGTGTCTTTCTTAAATGACAGCAAGCCATGAACTCTGTTACACAGAGGTGTTCGCATTATAGCTCCACCAGACATGTAGGCTGTCACATGATGCACGAGAATATAAGTTACTTTCTATTTTACTTACAAAAATAAGTTTGCATTCCTCTGCCTTCACTGAACAAGAGTTCCATAGATCTTTGTTGGCAATGATTGATCAATACATATGTAAACCCTATTTAGGTTATCATATACAAATATTTATATAAAATTAGTTTGACACAAATTGCAACATTTTTCCTGTACAAGAGCAGTGATAAGTCCACATCGAATGAATCACAATTCAACAAATTGTGCAAAATAAGGAAAACAAAAACATTCATCAACATAACTTAAAGGCATCTGGCAATTTGGCGGGTATTTATATCAAAGATAAAGCTTATGTTCAGTATCAATAGCCATGAAAACAAAACTGCTATGACCACTTTTATTTGTACACGGCTAAAATCTCTGACAGATTCATGCTCCACTTCACAACCTGAATTTGTCTTTTAAAGTGCATGCAATAATACCAGTAACTCGGACAGAACTGATTCAATGTAATAAATCCACATCCTGATAAAACTAATGCCAATTAATTTAGGATACTGAACAATCAATACATTTTGTTTTTTGTTCTTTTTTTCCCCTTTTTCTAAGTAAAAAGAAATAAAGCGTGGGTTCCACAATATGAAATCATAATTAAATGCTCTTAATGTATTCACCATATTTTAAAATCCGACACTGCTTCAAAATCTGCTTCTGCGTAAAGTTTTCATCAACAGTTGTCACATTCTCTGTGATACATAAAAAACAGCTAATAGCCACGGTGAAGACGCAGGACACATTCTACAGTCGTAATGTCCTTTGATGACACCAAAGGCGTTTCACACTTCATATCCACCTTACATGATGGGATCATACTTAACATATCAAAGTGCTTACTTGTACTAAAATATCCTGAATTACTAATTTAATACCAAAAGTGGGACAATGGCATGGAGAAAAGGTCAGTTTGTCTAGATATCTCTTCTTGGTTTCTAAGCTCAGTGATGCATCACCAAACCGCTTTTGTGTCTGTGGCTGTTTAGTTTCTCCTCTCAGAATTTCAGCCAAGTTCTCAGAGCCGATATGAGTTATAAGATATTGATCCAGCATTGTCACTGTTTGGGTGATCTTGGTAAATCCAACAATCAGGGACAGTGCAGGCACAATGTGTCCAAAGACATCAGTGTTGAACAGTCCCTTGACTTCCGTTGGATCATCTGGCCTCATCCTTGGGAAAGTCAAATGAGGCCAAGCTTCCGAATCCTAGCCGCGCACTCTCCGAATCAAACATCTCCAGTTCTCGCTCTTGACGCTCAAATAAATGCTTGATTTTTTCAGTCCGTTCCTTGTGAAGTGAGGCCAGCTCTTCTTCAATCTGTGGACAGAGGTGTGGGCAGACTGTTTACTAGGTATTCTCAGGTATTATTTATTTATTTGACCAGTTATGGGCAAATCTATCCTATGAATTACAGAGGTTCATTTAATGCACAAAAAATGTAAATAAAAAAACTTTCTCACCTTCTGTTCCAAGTGAGCCCGGCGCAAGGACGCCTTCTGTTCCAACTTCTGCACCTCATGCTCATGTTGGGCCTCCATCTGCGCCTTCGTTTTGTTCTGATAGGCATCGAGGAGCTCCATCTCCTGATGTAGCTGCTGCCTTAAAGCCTGACATTCAGCCTCCTGCTCTTCATCTAAACGTAACTGAGACAGTTACATGCTGCAATCATTATCTCAAACACTGAGGGGGGTTATTGCATTGTTAATATTGTTAGCTAAAATCATTTAAAAGCAATCATTTTTATTACTTGAAATAAAATAAACATTAACTAAAATAAAATAAAACTTATCTAAATACACTAAACCTAAAACTTAATAAAGACTATATAGATATTTACAAACTATGACAAAATGCAACAAAATTACTAAAACATTAACTAAAATTAAAATGAAAACAGAAAATACAGAAATAAAGCCAAATTTAAAATTTCAACAAAAACTATGAGTATATTATATATGGTTTGATGTAGATTGTATTGAGTAATGCCTCATCTTCTATTGTAGCCCTTAGAAACAATATTTAATTTATAAGCAGCAATATAACATTTAACAATAAGATCCGTTTTCATTTGGAAAACTGATGGTGTAAGTAGAATTTTTGGCTTGGTTGTGGAAAGTCATTTCCCTCTATAGCCACTAGAGGGAAACCTCTCAAATGGTTTTGGCCAGTAGCTGCTTTTTGAAATGTTTCTCACTAGGAAATGTGAAAAAAGATATGGAAACTATCTCTATTTTATCAGGTTCTCTCCCGTTCCAAAGAAGCTATGTGAAAAACGTTCTTGTATAAATCCTAAACTTAGTGAATACTGTATGTTTCAACAGATTCATCAGGTGAAAGGTCTAAGATTCAAGTTCATAACCTAGGATACAAGCACAAATTGTGTGGATTCACCATTAAAGGGTCGCTTTCGTCTGGTGCCTGTGTACTTTACCAATTGAGAGGCCATCATCTCATTAATGCTTTGCTCATATTGCTCTGCCAGCTGTGCAAGCTTGCGGGTCTGTTCTTCCTTCAGAGACTTCAGGATGGCTTTGTGGTCACTCTTGGGGGAGACCTCTAGCTGATGGTTCCTCAGAGCTTTGTACTGCTTGTTCTGCACCTTACAAGTATCTTGGAATTGCTTTTTGATCTGCATTTCCAATGTCTATAATGAGAGGAGATTCCTTAGGTTTTTTACAATGGCATTTTTACAATGCATCATACAAAAGCTCAATTCAGTTGTGCGTTTCGCTTTTCTCTCCTTCATGTCCATTTTCTTTTCTTTTATATTTTTCGTTAGTTCTACCTACCATTACAAATTGTACAGTTTACCTTAAGGTTCCTGGGCTGCTGTCGGCGTTCCAGTGCATGCTTCCTGTGTAGCTCCCTCTGCCGTCGACTGTTGTACTCCTCCTGGTTCTCCAGTTCAGTTTGATGCTGGTGGCGCATCAGCTCAAAACGTAGCCTTTGTAAGGTTTGTAGTTGCCGCTGTTCCAGCTCTTGGGTGGACTCATCCTGCCTGATCATCAATGCATGCTCCATTTCTTTTTGTGTCTTCTTCTTGTTAAGCTCCTTTAACACAAAGAGCAAGTCATTTATGAATAATATTTAAATAGTTTGAACGACATCAACAAAAAAAGATAAGGTTTTTAAAAAAGGATGAGTGTAAAAATTAATATCTTTGTGGGGTTTGTGTGTGTGTGTGTGTGTGTGATTTTGGAAACATGTTTCAGACTTGAACTTGCAAAAGAAACATCAACAGTATATATCACTATATATGATATACACAAACTACCTTTCAGCAGCTTGGGGTAAGTAAGATTTGTTTTTGAAATAAATTAATACTTTTGTTTAGCAAGGATGCATTAAATTAATTCAAAGTGACAGTAAAGACTTTAACAATGTTACAAAAGATTTGTTTCAAATAAATGCTATCCATTCATTTAAGAATTCTTAGAAAATATTCCATAAAAATAACAGTTCCACAAAAATTGTAAGCAGCACTTAAAATTAAAACTGTTTTCAACATTGATAATAAGAAATGTTATTTAAGCACCAAATCAGCATATTAAAATGATTTCTGAAGGATCATGTGACAGTGAAGACTGATGGAAATTCAGCTTTGCCATCACAGGAATAAATTACATTTTAAAATGTATTCAAATAGAAAAGAGTTATTTTCAAATGACATGAATACAAATAACATACAGCCAAACTTTTGAATGATAGTATATATGTATATTTTTTTTCTTCAAACATTAACCTGGAGATCACTCAGATGCCTAAATGAAACCTCAAAATTCACAAGAACAAAACAATGTGCTTGAGACTTTCTTTGTTGTGACTATTTCTTGCCTCCCGAATTTGCTCTTGTTCAAACTCATGCTTCTTGATAAGGCTTCTTCTTTTCAGAGCACGGCAGCTCCTTTCGTAAACCAGTCTTTGCTGGTTCAGCAGCTGGGCCTCTTCCTCAGCCTGGGAGTGCTGCATTGTTTCCTTATGCCGTGACAAGCGCTCCTGTTTCTCCTCTTTTGGTGTGTCGGAGTCTTCATTCATTTCCTATTGT